ACGGTGCAATTTGATAGCCATTGCTCGGGAATGCCATTGGACGGTCTCCGGGATCCGCACCAACCGTGCCGGCCACTTGGAAAAAATCAAAGTGCCGCCAGTAACAGAAACAGCAGAATCCAAATATTGAACACCTGGAAAAGTTTGCCAACCCAACTTTTTGGCAGTCATTGTGATAGCAGTCCAACTATCGTGGTTGACTCGCGTCTCTTGCAAGCAAACAACATCAATGGATTGCTTTGCTGCCAAATCAAAGACACCACCCAAGCGGCCTGAAAGCGACCGCACATTCATGGTACCCACCCTCAAATTGGCGGAAACTTGCATCAGGAGGAAGACAATGCGCCGTCCTCCATTGCGAAAGCTTCCAATGCGCGCTGAGCAGCACGCTACGTGGCACCTGGCTTTCCATTGGAAATCTCTTTGAGCTGCTGCTGATAGCCGCGGCGTTTGTTGTTCCAAGCCACAACTTTGTCACATGCCACACGCTTGAAGTCCCATTCCCTGGATTAAAGCCTGCGGCAACCAGTGCAAACAAATTTCACCGTACTGTACTGTCAATTGGCCAGACAATGGCCTCGACATGGTGGTCCTTGTTCTTGGGATCTGCAGCAAGTGAAGCCTGCTGGGTGATGCTGATCACTTGCTCGCACCCTTGCTTGAGTCATTCATCCACATCATCCGAGCCCAATGCAGCTTGCAAACGTCGGATCGGTTCCTTTCGCTGTGGGCCTCGCGAGGAGCCAAATGTCAGCAGTATCTTGGCGAGCAACTTGAAGGAGCTTTCCAAGCTGGCACTTTTTTTGCGAATGACTTTGGTCATGTTGCTCATCTTCTTGCCTTTCCCGGTTGGAGGAAGAGTAACAATCATAGGGTTGTGAGGCCCCGCTTCACCCTTCTTCAAACCCAACAATCGTCGGGCGACACCAGCTGCGCAAACTTTTTGAGTAGCTTTGGCAGCATTTGCCGCCCAGAGAGGCCGAAAGTCACCGCAGAACGCTTTGAAATCAGTGTAAGGATGGCATTCTGCATGGTGCTTCTTCTTCATCTTATATCTTTGGTCACCTTTTGCAGCTGAATCCGCAGGGATGGCCAATTCGCAATGAGGACATTGCCAAAGAACCTTTTCACCTGATTTTGGAACTTCAAGAGTTCGCAGTCTCCCCTGGGGAATATTGAGAGCTTTGCGATCCTCAGGGTGCCATGCGCGAATATGGGCAGATTTCTTCTGAGGCCACATTTTGGTTTTCCCAATCGAAAAATCACACTTCGGGCAATTCCATTCCTGAAGCTTGGGATGCCCAAGCTTGCGTTTCTTCGTTTCGTTTTCCAGCACAGCGTCCTTTTGCTTGTCACCAATTTCGCTGTCTAAGTCATCATCAAAAGCAACGCTGGAGCATTCCTCTGCCGCACCCCGACCCACTGAAGCAGACGTGACATGGGCGTTGCCACGCTGCTCTGATGTAGAAGAGCCGGGCAAGGGTTTGGCAGAAGAATTGGCTACAACATTGCGGGTAGACACCAAACGTGCTGGCATTGCCGCCAAGCGGGTTTTGCCAGATGCCACCTCTGAGGGAAGGGCAGAACGCCGAGTGTGGGCTTCACTGACCAAATCGCTGCACTCACCACCACCTCTTCCACCTTGCATAGGGCCAGCAGCAGTTTGCTGCAAGATGCCTTGAGGAAGTTCACCTTCCAAAGGCTCATAATGCTTAGTGGAACCAAAGAGGAATGGCTTCGCCAGCACGTCCCTGAGCATTGTAAACTTCAGGAACACCTTGAGCCCGAAACACCAACACAGGTCGATCGTAGTGAACAGCGGCGGCTGCTAACTCTAAGCTGCCACCCCACGAGCCCACTTTAGCCAACAAAGTCAAATATTTGTCCCAGCTGTCACATGGTGCCTCCTCATTTGTGGGCTCTCTGCCGTCCCACCAAGGTTTGTAACGCGCATCATGTCGCCTGAGGTGGTTCACAATTGCAGCCCTGACACCACGGGCTGCTTTGGGTTGTTTGGGATCCAACCCCTGACCGAAGGCTTCAAAAACGCAGTTCCCCTGGCCGGCATTGGCACGAGGCTTCAAGCCAAAAGGCGGTGATGCCACCACTGCAGCACGTTTCGCAGGCCTGTACTTTCCAGGCGTGCTTCCCATCCGTTTCTCCTGACGTGAGTCCTCCTCCATCGCGCCACCCTGAGGACTTGAAGGTGCGTCCTTAAGAGTTGGCTCAACCTCTCTGTTTTTGATGGGCGATCCAATGTAGAAAGACCTGAGCGGCTGGGTAGTAGCAGGAGCACTCAAACCATCTTGCTTGGAAGCATCTTGAAACAGAACGCGCCCTCCACTTGCCAGCTTCTTCACCTTCTGCCTTTTGGGCTTCGGGGGTAAAGTAGCGACAACCACCAAAACCTGACTGCCAGCAGTAATTTCCAAAAAAAACGTATCACTGCTAGCAACTCCTTCAATCCACCACTCGACTTGGCTTCCCCAAGACTTCCGAGAAAGGACCTTGACATTCTCAATGCCAGCATGAAGAAGTTCAGAGGTCAAAGTCTGGGCGCCCCAATCTCGTGGCGATCCTGTGATCCTCCAAGTTCTGCTCTTGACCAACTTCTCACTCGCAGCTCTGGGCTTTCAATGCCAAGGCTATTGAAACCTCGGGCCAAGCCAAGATCACCTGACAACCCTTGTACTCTTTTCATGTAGGTTGGACCATCCTCGTGCTGGAGCTTTTTGATCCACTCCACATCACAAGTCGCAATGACTGACTCATCCCACCGCAATGGTCCGACGAACCATCTGTTTTTCCCGAATTTCCAATGAAAGCTTTGGAGCTGCTTTTTTCGATTCTCAGCAAACCAGTAATAATTGGTCTGCCTCCTCCCTTTGTTGCCTCTTCTTGGAAGCCCCACAAATCAAAATCCGCCGGCATCGTTTTCGAGAGCCAGCTCTGTACGGCTGCTCTGGGTTTACTTTGAATGCTTTGCCATTCTGACTGCTGCAGGTATTTTGCATCAACACTGACATGCACAACCACAGTATCAGAAGCAACGGCGTTGCTGGCAACCACTGCCGGTCGTTTCAATGAAGGACTTTTCCCAACAATTGGCATGAGAAATGCTTGTCTAGGTTGTACTTTGCCAGAAACCTTGCCTGGCACAACTCTGAGCTCCCTGCCTGTCATCGGCTTTGCATCTCGCGGTGCTAACATGACCGCAGTGACATGAACTTGTCGGGCTTTCCCTGACTCAGCTTCAATCAAAACACGAAGCTCTCCAAGTTGTTCATCAGAATCAACCTGGACCACGGCTCTGACATCACCTTCCTTTTCTAAGGCGTCAACAAAACCTTCAAATGAAAAAACGCACCATCCCAGTCGCTACTTCTCAATTGCCACAAAGGAAAAAAACCTGACGGCTTTGAAGCTACAACTTCAGCAAAAGTGGGCTTTGACTGTTTCGCTTCCAGTGCCTCAGCTTTTTGCTGTTCTCCAGTACCAGCATTGTTCTTATGTCTTCTTTTCCTTCTTGGGAGATACAGTTCCACGCGGTTCATGCACAGCTGACATGCCCAAAGAAAGAAGCTGCTGCAAAGTATTCCCACCACCAGACCCAGAACCCAATAGGTTGAGGAGCTGCAAGAGAAGTTTGAGCAATCACCAAGCTGCTTCACATTGATCCCTGCCAAATCATCAGATTTGCTAACACCCTTCTGGTTGCGTTTTCTTTTGGACTTTCTGGAACCTGCAGCATTACCATTCAATGCATGCATTCTGCGATTCCTGAGCTTCCGGGACATGGAGTGAGCACACTTCGCTATGTAAAAAACATCCCGCAGTCACCGAGACCAAAGTCAGGAGGTAGTGCTCTGAACTGCGTCGAAAGTTGCTGCTCAACCAAGTTATCCTGAGAGTCAAACTTCCAGCACTTCACGCCTTGAAGAAATGACACGTCAATGCACCTGGGATATGCAGATCCCTTCGACGATGAGCTCTCTTCAGCAGACTTTGACTTCGCAGAGCCCTTTGAAGATGATGTCACAGCAGGTCTAACAAGATCTGAACCCTTCGAAGACGAAGCCGCAGTAGATCTCGGAGTTGATGAACCCTTCGAAGATGATGCTGCCTCGACCTTCGGAGCTGCTCTCGAAAGCGGATTCGCCCTGGTGATCGTGACCAAAGATGACTTCGCAGGTGGGCTCGAAGATACTGTACGAGATTGCCCAGCTGATGATGATGATTTTGCAACACCTTTAGGTCTTGGGACCAAGCGAGTGACTTCCGAAGTTGACTGAGAAAGAGGCCTTGATGGAAAAGTCAAAGGATCTTGTGCATACTCAGTTTGATCAAGCTCCTCGTCACTGCTCTCAGGTTCCCAAGTTGCCGGAGAGTACAGGGGACGCTGCTGCCCACCAGAGCGACAGCAACAGGGATGTCGTCCCACTGCACTCCCTGATCCAGGTTATGCTGGATCCAGGCCAATCTCTTCCTCCGAGCCAACCCACCTACTCTGATCCCGCGGCGAGGCGGTGTGCGAGAACGATCACTCATGGAGGCGGGGTTTTACAGGGACCCCAAACCCTAATGAAAAGATTCCCCCAAAAGTCAACAATCAATCAAAGACCGATACGGCTGATAACCACTTGAATCGCCTAGAAACAGCCAAAACCAAAAGGGGGTTCCTAAAAGACCACCGCACACAAGCCCAGGGCAGCAGCTGCGGCCTGTGATCATCTTGAGCCAAATAGGTGTCAAACAACCCAATCAGGAGGTGTCTTTACAGTGAACAATATGGGTATGATTTAATGATTTACACCATATTTTTCAAGTATTATAAATATATCAGAAATCCCAATCAAGGGTTGACTCTGATCGTTCGTGTTGCTTTCATGGCATGCCAGCCTGATTCTCTACAATTGGCATCACCGACAATGACACGCAAGAAAAATGAATAAACGTGAACCAAACGATGGCTGGGACAGATTAGCCCCAACGTGTTTGGCCTTCACCGCGCCATTTGCAGCGCCCAGTTCTTCCATGTCTTTCAAGGCTTTCTGGACTTGTTCCTGCACGGAGATATGATGCTTTTGGGGCATGTGGATTTGGTGCGGGTGTGATCAAAGGGCTGGTCTTCACATCATCAAAAGTGACTTTGGAATGACATTTGATTCCCAAACAAAACAACACGTGTGCCTATCAAGCGCCCAGGCCTAAATGTTGGAAGTGGAATTTGGACTGAGAAACCCCAACAACCAGAATATTGCTCTAATCAAGAAAACTTATTATTGATATACGCAAAGAAATGACCACCTAATCAATTCATCAACGCAACACTGGTTTGATGCGGTCATCGTCCAATTCAGATGTGTTTCATTAAAAAGTAAATAAATCCGAATAACATCTCTGCAGCCAATTTCCCAAACCACTCCATGCTTTGGACCTGCGCTTTTGCGCATGCAGATGTCTGAGCCGCCAAGTCTTTCAGTAAAGATCGGATTTCCTCCTGCAATGTGGGAAGTTGTGGGGATGCGGTGGAGAGCTGGTGCAAAGCCATCACCCCTTCAAACATCAAATGGTCTTCGCGTGTATAGGACACATGTCGATGTCAAAATTCCGACTCTCGAACCCTGCGGACCCTGCCCAGGCCTTCTCCGTGGAATCCAAGAGTTGACATTCCAAGGTTTTCAGCTGCTCCTGACACTCGTGGGAAGGGATTCACTGAAGGTATCAGTGAACGTGGATGAAAATGGTTGTCTTATTGACACTGGAACCCATTGCATTACAAGGATGACTTGACAGCGGGTCGAGTGCTTCCGACGCATAAAACGAATTTTGTATTACTTCATACTTTAAACTTTAAACTAATTTCGCTGCCACGTCATACCCAACCCAAATCTTCGATCTCACGAGTAAGATGGTAACACTTGGAGCCCAACCTGGTTGGCGACCACAGAAAACTGCGTTTGGTAAAAATGTTGCTTTCCACCAATTACTGAAACCCTGCTTTAACATCAACCACAAATGCACAGCTGAACCTCCAACAGTTGCCGTGCAATCTTCTGCTTCTGAAGTTCATTGTGAGATGTCTGCACTGCCTTTCCGGATCAAGAACTCGGAGAAACACACCATGCAAGTCTTTCACTGCCGAAGATTCGCAGGAGCCATTTGGCAGCACAAACTCATGTGTTGTGGAGTTCCACAAGGTGAGTCCGCAGAACCACTAAAAGCTGCTACAGTGCCCCTTGCGATTGGAAATTGCAAGATGAAAATAGGAGATAATGACAGACAATGAGGCCTCCAGATTGTCTTTCCGTAGCTGCAGGCCTTCCGACGAAGCTTGAGCTTGAAGCGGCTCCTCAATTTCAATCCTATACTCCTGGGATCCCGAAATGCAAGACACTCAACAAGATCCTGCTGTCCAAAGAATACTTGATTGTGAATTAGTGCAGTGTCTTCTTCTCAACACAGTTTGCACTTTGGCATTCCATGGTGAATTCCGAGTCGTCGATTGGAAACTTACCTTGTGTCAAACATGTTGGGTTGTCTCTAGGCAGCAATCTTTCGGGTCTACTTTTCCACTGTTCCTGAGAATTCCTGAGCAAGGTATTCTGCAGTTCTTTCTGATATTCATGTCTAGGAATCCGGCGACCATCCTTATCTCGAAATTTCATGTATTTTAACTTTGGTTTCGCAGGCGTTTGAGGCCTGTCCATTCATTTTTCCAACTGTCTTCGAAGGTTTTCTTCCTTCTTTCTACGTACCTCTTCTTTGATCGAAACGTCAAAGTCTTTCACTTTCTGTTGGTGTCCCCCGGCGTTTAGCCTCTTGCCGTGTCAAAGATTCCAAATATTGGCAGCGATTTATTCTTGATGGTGTGGATGAATCAAAGTCAGGACAAACATCGATATGGCGGCCCCAATCCGCCCCACATCATCCTCCGGAGTTTCAAGAGGGTCGTCCATCGTTTGGGCCACGCTTGGCGACCAGCAAGAGCCGTCAAAATGTCTGGTCAAAAAATCGGCCCTGCAAAAGGTTGGGCTAACATAATAGATTTGACCCTAATTCCAATGGATCATTACCATCAAAATTCCCAGTCGGGGTCTCCCCGTTTTAAGACATACTCATAGGCTCATAGGCCATACTATGGTTTTTTCAGATCCTCAACAATGCTCGGTTCTGGAACTTTAGGCCCACAGTTAAGCAATTGATGGGCAATTGCGTTGGATTCAAACCTTTGCAACATGTATCATGTGCTGAAAGTTTGCCTGGAACGTCACAGGAGTAATGGTTGTTGACAGTAGACTCAACCTTGAGCAGCACTGCGGTCTACTTCTGGCTCAATTTCATCATAGTTCACCAACTTGAATTCATAGCTGCCATCATACCATCTCAATTTTGGGGATAATTCCGATGACGTCACGACGACTGAGCACGATTGCGGCGCTGCCATTGGCCGTAGGTTTCTTCAAAATTTCTGGGATTATGGCAGTTGTGGTCAAGTTTCCCTCCGACAACTACAAACATTTCACTTCTTGCAGCAGGTGTTGGAGGAAATTGAACTTAATTGTCTTTATCAGGACAAAATTCACAAACAATCCACGCTGCCAAGAGTTCATTTTCAGCCGACTTGATGCCCGCACTTTGTCAACAGTTGGAAACGCCAAACATGTGGAACTGCAGCACTATGCCCGGGAGCAGATCAAGACAGAAATGCTGTGCGAATCCAGGAGGGCAAACCAACTTGATACCTAGCCGTTCATACTCTGCCACAAGTTTTGGTTCAAACTAAATCTTTTCCAGGACCTGACTGGTCCAATTCCAGGTAATGGTTCTAGTTTGAGCAGTCCTTCCATTCTGCCTGCAAAAGGATCTCAATGCAAATTTAGATGTTTGATGATGTGTGTTTCCATCTCCGTAGAAACAATGCAGAAAACACAAAATCCTGGAACCATCTCGTTCGGGCGACCCGAACCAATCGTCAAAAATGGGGCTGACCCTAAAAGAACACCATAACAAAAGTTTGTATTTGTGTTTTGTGATGGAAAATATCAAAATATACACTCCTGAATTCGGTGGAACTTCATGCTATTCCTGAAGTCCACTAACATGGCACCATGGTACGGTGTGGAGTGGATTTCGTTCCCCAGGAAATCACGCAACTAACTTTTGAATAAAATCACGCCAAAACTGACATGGAACCCAATGTGGGTCCGAACTGAACCCAAACTGCACCCTGAAACAGCTAACATGGAATTTGAACAAGTCATCATAAATCGATCTGCAATCGTGAAGGGCGATTTGAAGATTAACCTGGAACCCAAATGGTTTTCAAAAGGTTATAAATCGTCTATGTAGGTCTTGAGGGCGACCCTATTTTTCACTCCGTCTTGAAAAAACATAGCAAAAAAAGGTCAAAACCTGGACGTTTTGCGTGATTCTACCTGGAGATCCTTTATTCCCTTCAAAAAACATCAAAAAACTAATCAGGTTCCAGGTCAGTCGTGGGAAAAGAACTGAAGCCAAAACACCTCTAAGAAAAGGTTGCGTTGGCACTTTTTTTTCAATGTGTTGGGTTCCCTGTTCCTCGCACAACCTTCCAACGTAAACCGCAACGGGCAGAAAACGTGACACCGAAGAGAGAAGGAATCAACAGGAAACGACAATCAAAATTAGCAAGCTAAGAAAGAGATGGAAAGAGCAACAAGAAGCAAAAGAAAGACAAATGTGACCATTTTCCTGATGAACTTGCTGAAACTGGTGCCCCAAGAATCGTTGGGTTCCATGTTGGTTTCCGTTGTGGGTTCGACGAACATACCCGGGGAACACAGAGACAAAATAAATCAAAATAATTCAACCCAAAAACGTTTAAATGGCACATGTTCTCCTTTACAAGGTGTAAATTTACAAGGTGTGAAGGAAAGCTAGGATCCCAAAATCCAATCCAATCCCGTGATGAAATGTCCATTCAGGTGCTATGTCAGTTTTCAGGTTCTGGCGCATGAGAGTCTATGGTATGCAAACAGGCCACCACTCCAGATACAACCCAATTAATTAATGATAAAATGAAGAAAAAATTACCTAGACCTAAGCAAAGCTAGGGCTGAGTACTCCAAAATATGATTTTCAATGATTTTCACATAATTTTGCGGGTAGACTAATGCTAATAAAACGAAGACATAGTAGGTGGTCGTGTCGGTACTTATTTTTGGAGTGTTATTTTTTGCGGATTGTTTTTTCTGTTTTGTTTTTTTTCTGGTTCCCAGTTTCTCTGCTTCTCTTCTTTTCCCTGTTTCTTTGCTTCTTTGCTTCTCCGCTTTTCCCTGCTGGCCTGCTTCTCTGCGTTTCTGCGTTTTCCTGCTTTTCTGTTTCTCTGCTTCTCTGCTTTTCTGCTTTTCTAAACTAACCCTAAACCAACCCTAAAACCAATCCTAAATGAACACTAGTTGCAAATTACCATGTTCCATGAACAGTTCGAGCACCAAAATGATGCAAATTCTATGGAAAATGAGAGGTTCGAACTCAAAAATGCTGCAAATACTGTTGACATGATGGCTTCCTCCAAAATTCCAAAATGCAAATAGCGGAAATGGACAGAACAAAAAAACGGAACAGAAAATCCCCAGAGACCCCGTCCGTTTTGCATCGCTTGGGTTCCATGGTTTCCGGTTTTAACAGGGCTCGGGGAGAACGGACGGGGAAATCAAGTGGAAATGTCGTCTCACCCGTCCCAACTTTACGGCCATGGCATGTCCAACCGTCTGTTTGACATCCCCAAAATGACAGCAACGCCTGGATCCAAAGACAAATTATGACCAAAACTGGAGCAAACGAGTCATCATCTGGATCAAAACACTTACGAGCCATGAATTTGAGATATGTTGAGTCAAAGATCTCCAAATTACATCAAAGTATGCACTTACTTTCGAAAATCCACCGAGGAAAACCTCTCTTAGTGCTGGGAGGTCACCTTGATCAGATTTGAGATTGCCATCGGATGCCATCGGTTTCCAAAAACAAACTATCCATAACTATCCGAAAAAAATCATACATGTTTTTGGCAATTTTGCCAATGAAAATTTTGAATCGCCGCGCTGCTTTGATCTGATGCCAGTGCTGGCACGCAACACATCCACATACTTGCACGTTGCCTCGTGTGTCGTGGCTTTTGCCAACATATTCCTCTTGTTCATTTTCAAGTTAACAATCTGCTGGCTTTGAACATACAACACAATGGCTGCCACAAACCCGAACAAAACATGGAGAGTCGAGAGTCCTTGAGAAAACATGAGAAAACACAACAACATGTCGCTGTGAAGCTATTCCACTCTTGTGAGACGCTCACTTGTAACGCGCTCGTGTGATCTGCTGTGAGTAAGACACTCTTGGAAGACTGTTGTACGATGTGACAGTTTTGTACCACACTTTTGTGAGACACTCTTGGGATTGAAGACTCTTGTGAGACACTCTTGTGAGATACTTTTGCAAGATGCTCTTCTGACTCACTGCGGCACGACTGACAAACAATGGGTTAAGCGCTATATATAGCACATGATGACCAAACAATACTGCTCTCTCCCAGTTCCACTACAGGCATGTCTAGATAGCCATAAATTTGCCTGGATCCCTCAAAATGACCACATTGGCAGTGTGCGAGTGGTGGTTTGGCCAAGAAATGTGAAACCGTGAAACAAGTTTCCACGCTCAGCAAAGTACCGCTTCGATGACTCCCAAAGAGCCTCATTGGTCGCCGCGCTCGAATGGATCCCTATCTGATCTGACCAATACCTCCAGATGGCTCCACTATTCCATTTCCACATGGGGACCTCGTCTACAAACCCTGAAAAAGTCGTCAAAATGTGCATTGCATTGCGATTCGGATACATTTCATGGTTGCACCGGATGGCCTGGAGTCAAAGGCAACAGAAAACCATCGAAAACCAGTGCGAAGATGTGCCAAGAAGAACCACGTTCCTCACGTCTAAGGAGATTACATGAGGAGGAATGCCCAAAAGAAACGATTTCTTTTCATCCACAATGGCCCAAAACATGGTACCAAAATACAGCTGATTCCAACAGCAAGTAGCATAGACACCCTGCATCTTTGAGAGTGGACATCCTATGGACGTTTTCCAGACTGGCAGAAATCACATAGAACTCTCTGAGCATCCGGCCTTCATTCGGCCCGTGGTGCAGCCTGGGCCTCGGCGCCAACATCTGCAACGGTGGAGAATCCGAGCTGCGGCCGTGCGGCCAAGCCACGGCTTCGAGCAGCTGGACGACTTTTGCTGTCCCGTAATTTCTCGCCAAGTCCAACGGAGTTTCTCCTCACAGCGGTGACCAACGGGGCTGAGCCCATGGGAAAACCTTCTGATCATGTCGGAACCACCAATATATACCGTTTGAGTCTTTGAACAAAGCCATTCTCAAAGCGACTATGTTAACAAATGACTTTTCTGCACAAAAGAGATGCAAATTCCGATCTCAAGACAGACGGTCACGCGCTAATAGAAGCCAAACGAGTCGTGTCCGAACTGAGGCCCCCGGCCACCATTGTTTTGCACATCCACCGGTGCATTGGCTTCGAGCAGCAGCTCCACCACCTCTGCCTTGCCGTAGTATGCTGCCTCATGCAGCGGGGTGTCACCTCGGCCCAACGCCAACACACTGCGAGGGAAGGCTTTGAACAAAGCCATTCTCAAAGCCACTGCGAGCCGATTTTTCTTTCAACAAACTTCATCAAGCCCCATTTACACTATATGAACCCATGTGAAAAATGGTGAAAGCATCTTATCTGCACTGCACAATCATCCTTTTCTACATGTCTTACCTTCAAATGGTAAACCGAACTTGTTCAAAACCCAAGTTGCTTAAGGAAGCTGCTTTCTCCTCTCCAATTTGGACAAACTTCATCAAAATACGTTTCAACTACAAAATGTGAATATTACCTTTACAAAAAACGTGTAATTTTATCTGTACAAAAAACGTGTAATTTTATCTGCATCTTGAATTCGGGCGGCCACCAAGTGAAGCCAACAACGAAGCGCCAAGGCCAGAGATCCACAGGTACTCTGCAGCTGAGGCCCCCGCCGTCTTTGTTTTGCACCCCCAGCGACGCCACCTCCACCAGGAGATTCACCACCTCCACGTGGCCTTCTGCAGCTGCCATGTGCAACGGAGTCCAACCTCGGGCAGCCCATGCGGCAGAGACATTTCTCGCTGAAGTGGAGGAAAGAGTCACAACCGAAACCCGCTGGGATCGAACGAAGTTCACCAGACGGTCACAGACCGCAGAGGCCCCGGGTCTGGAACCCGTCCTGTGGAAGGATGGCAGCAGCGCCGATGCACCACACAAAATGTGCATCCGGGCATCTACCCCTGCGAAGCTCGGTACCAAGTTGTTGGAGTCGATGTTTGTTACAAGGCCTTTTTCATTCGCTGCATGTTTGATCGGATTGGCCAAAGTCCACACCTCCTAGCATTGTATCAAGTTTATCACAGCCATGCAGATATAACAAATCGAATCTGCTGAATCCGCTGAATTCGCTGACTCAGTCTGCACAGACCTATAGTGCCTTGATGCATCACATAGATACCGCTTGCAGAGAAAAAAGATTCAAAACCTGTCGAATGTGTTCAAGTTCTATCTTCTGAGCGGAAGGCTATCGGGAATACATGGCAAAACCCTGTGTGAAGAGCATGGCGAAAGAAAATGAACATCACATCACTACAGTGTCAGGAGACAGCAGACTTGCTTCGCCAAGGTCGTGAGAAATGCACCGGGTTCCAAGGATGGTTTGCTTGGAAAGTTTCCTGAAAGGACTCAAACTGTCATATTTTTTGCAGCTATCTAAATTAGAAGTGAAGGAATAAATATCCCTGACCTTCCAACCACAAGCTTTAACGTTGTGGTGAGTCTAACTGCATGTCTTCACTGAACCCCATCATTTCACTGCTATTCACTGCTTATAGTCATCCTAGGTCCATTTTACATCTTGTGAACTTGTATCATCTTATGTCAAGTTTGTCATAGACATACGAGAGAACACACCAAGTTGAAGACAAAGGTTTCAAATCAGCCGAGGCAGTGTACACATATTGCGAAATGGTACCAAAACTGTATACCGAATGCCTTGATGCGTCACACCAATACAGGTTGCAGAGCAAGCAGATTCAAAGCCTATGTCAAATGTATTCGAACTCCATCTCCCCGGGAGAAAGATTGCGGGAGATCTGTCAAAAGCATGGCGAAAGAAAATACACACTGCAAGGATATTTGTTTCGCCAAGGTTGTGAGAAACGCATAGAAACGCCATAGGTCCTCAGCACATTCTGTTTGGAAAGTATCAACAAATGTGACACCAAGTTATTTGAATGACCTTAAATCGAAGAATTCATTTCTAGACACGGAAGATGTGGACACTGGGCGGCTGTCTTAACAAATGACTTTTCTGCTGGAAAGATCTATGAATTCCTATCTCCAGACAGATGCTCACGCGCCAAGAAGGACCCGAACAGGTCGTGTCCGAACTGAGGCCCCCGGCCATAATCGTTTTGCACATCCACCGGTGCATTGGCCGCAAGCAGCAGCTCCACCACCGCTGTTTTACCATTGGCTGCTGCCCGGTGCAATGGGGTGTCGCCTCGGCCCAACGCCAACACACTGTGAGGGCAGGCTCGGAGGCTGCCGTTTTTTTGAGAAATTTCATCAAGGTCAAGGTCCATTTCCACTAAATCCATTTGAAAGATCGTGAAAAAAACCTTATCAGCACAATCATGACAATCCTCTTTTAAACTTTTTTTACATGCTTTACCTTCAAATGGTAAATCGAACTTGCTCAAAACCAAAGTCGCTTGAAGGAGCTGGCTTTTCTCCAAGCTTCCGCTATATTTGAAAATCCTATGAAAATCCTATGTGGGATTCATCAAAAACCATGTCGACATATGTCGACTAAATAATCCAAAATCACCAAATATCCATGTGAAAGCATCTAATCTGCATCTTGAATTCGGGCTGCCACCAAGTGAAGCCAACAACGAAGCCCGTTGGGATCGAACGAAGTTCACCAGACGGTCACAGTGTCAGGAGACAGGAGACTTGCTTCGCCAAGGTCGTGAGAAATGCACCGGGTTCCAAGGATGGTTTGCTTGGAAAGTTTCCTGAAAGGACTCAAACTGTCATATGTCGACTAAATAATCAAGAAACTTCATCAAGCCCCATTTACACTATATGAACCCATGTGAAAAATGGTGAAAGCATCTTATCTGCACTGCATAATCATCCTTTTCTACATGTCTTACCTTCAAATGGTAAACCGAACTTGTTCAAAACCCAAGTGCTTGAAGGAGCTGGCTTTTCGCCAACATTTACCAAGTGGTAAAGGGGATGTGCGATGCAAGAGGATCGCAACCACCCAAGTCACAACATCCAAAACGTGAACTTTAAGACATGAAATTGAAGACATGAACTCTTTAAAATACTTTAAGAATTAAAGACAAATGCAAAGGTTCACATCCCACCGGTGCAGTCTTAGCACTTGTTCCAAAGCAATGTTTTTCAGGATTTTTTTGAATTTTAACAGCATCGCCACCCCCTACACCAGGTCAGTGCGTATCCTCTGAGAACAAGTCAGCGATCTGAAAGGAACACCAAGGTTTAAAAAGGTAAATGTTTTGAATCTGCTGTGAGTCTACAGATGGTACCAGTACCTATATATATATATATATATATATATATATATGGTGCAAAATGAATCATCATGGTACCAGTACCTATATATATATTATAGACCTAATTCATCCTAATTCTATATATCCAGCGCCTTGATGATCTTGATGCGTTACAGTTTTCAGATTAAGCACAGTCTCCGGTTTTGCTTCCAGCCCCCATTGACAGTCCCGTGGATCATTTGGGGTCCCGGGCCAAAGAAGCACGTCTGCTGCACAGAGCCGGGCTCCATGCGCAGCAGGTGCCGAACCGCACCGACTTTGCCGTTGCCGGCTGCCTCCAAGATGTCCCCGCAGCCTCGGCCAGGGCAGCAACGCCGCTGCAGCCCACGTCGCCAAAGTGGCTGACCGTTCACCGTCTGGGCGAACTGTTGACAGCTGTGGTGCAGAAATCGTTGGAAGATTCAATTTTTTGGATCTGCCCTACAATCTTCCTCATAAACAAAAGCACACCAACCTTCGAAGTTCTCACCATCAGCCATCATGCCTTACTGCTAACCGACTTCTGAGGCCCCAGCACCCTTCAGCTTCCTTTTTGTCTTCTGCCGAAATGAATCGGAATTTTTCTCCTCGACCTCTCTTCATCTCTTCCACGGTCCTGAGGGCCTGGCACCCAATTGACTCCCAGGGTGCTGCAACTGTGAGACTCGTCAGGGTCTTGTTGACCTCCAAGGTTTCGGCCAAAGCCTGCAGCTGAGGGAGTGGCAGGAACAGCTGACACCAAGAAAGCATTTTGCGCGATTTGACTTTGTTTCCTTCGTGTTTTTCCCACCGATCGCAACTTGAAAAGCAAAACGATGCAAAACATAATATACCTTGAGATTCAAAAACCCTTGAAATCGCAGACGATCTTTTCTCAACAAGGCGAACTGTTGGAAATCAGCTATATGGAACTTTGACAGGATACAATCCACTTCTTTGCTTTACCTTCACATCGTCAGGAGTCAGAGGTGTGTCATCAATTGAGACCATCGAATTTGAAGCTATGAGACATGCTCAGAAGGCCTAAAAAAAAACATACGGGAGCACATTATGCCACGACCCCCAAAAACTATCAGAAAAAAATGTTTTTCGGACGGGTTTTTTACGGGTTTCCACGGCTAAAATACGAGTGATCTACAGTCATTTTTTTCTAAAACGTGTGAAACATAATCTTTTCGAATTGCACTACGGGGTTCTACGGGTTTTCTACGGGTTGGTACAGGTTTTCTACAGGTCCCACACAATACAGCTACCTGGGCACCATGAACACGATGAAAATTGTCATGACTGATCGCTGGGGCTGTTTCCTGCTTTCCTGGCACCATATAGTGTAATGTTGTGGACATCCTGGATGGGACTATTAATGGATACACAACGGCATGGCAAATAAGAATGCATCGGGATAAATATCAAAATTATCCAAGTATACCGTACCTTTCAAGACCCATCCAAAACCATGAAACATAGGGTTTTCGGCAGTTTTCAACAAGAGACAAACTTTTGGCAAAAAGACGACCTTTTATGAAATATGCTCAAAAGACAATCTTTTCATCAAAGTACTGCAAATGTGTGGTTTTTTTTGGGATGGTATATATTGGTATTCAGCATATTTCAGAGTCATAAGTTCATAAGTGTCATAAGTTACTGCCCCAGCACTTGTCAAGTGCGATTCGACCTCCAGTCGCACCCCAGGCCACACATGGGAAAAGGCACCTTTGCGCCAACGTCGGTGATTTGATCCTCGTGAAGGCACAGCACCTCCAAGGTCCGGTTGTAGCGCAGAACCTCTGCAAGCGCCTGCGGAAAAGAAATCTGGGCAATTCTTCAGCGAATATATCAGCATATTATCAGCACGTGTGCATGTGTCAAACTAAATTGATTGTGAAGATCCCTGTCAAACAGAACAGAGAAATCCCAAGTGACACCCTTTGGATCCGTTTGGTATTTACGAACTTTACGTCCTGTCATCCTCTTGCTTCCCCTGATGCAGGACAAGTGAATGCGTTGTCGCAGTTGTTGCATCGCAATGCAACGCACGATATGACGAGACGGAGCCACTTCGACCAGCACCTTATCCGAGATCCTTCGAGCCCACCCCATCAAGCCATAAGCCTGGGCTCCGTCGTCAGAAATGCAGGTGTTGCCCAAGTCGATGCTCTTCACCGGACTGCCACTCTTCAACGGACTGCCACTCTTCAACAGTTGGGCGACCGCCTGGATTTGCACAGAAAACAGCGACATCCAACCAAGGCGGCTCTCAACATCTGACGCTCAACCAGCAGGATTTTCAACAGGTCATACAGGTCTCCTAAGCAACGCCAACAGCTGCATCCTAGCCACTTAGGCAAAATAACGAAAACTCCGTGATATAATGTGAAACATATTATATAATTCAGAGCCCAAATACATCGCCCCTCATCACATACCATGACCATCTCCCTTTTCCAAACCCACCAGGCCTTGGCCTTTTGGTCGTCGATCTGATCTTCTGCGGGGTCAACGGTGACGCTGGTCCCCAGGGAGTTCCTCTCCAAGGCGTCAGCCACCACCTGCCGAAGCATGACGAGGCAGGGAGCGGATGGCGGGTTGGTCGGTTGAGTCGGTTGGTCACCTGTTGGTCATGCTGTCGCCACATGTTGATCACCGGCGCTCGGCAACGTCGCAGCCGGCCTTGAGACGAACCGGTGCGTCGAGCGGCAGTCTGTCCTTGATGGATCTGTTCCTCCTCAAGGCTTTTGCCAGGGCCTCGCTGCAGAGGTGACACAGGCAGCATTTGCGACGCTGCAAAAAGTGGAAAAACTTAAGAAAAATCTAACTGTAAGGATCTGTGAAGATCTGGTAAGGAACTGTTAAGGGAAAAGCAATAAAATGTGCCGATAGATACAGCCTATATTGAACACTTTCTGCAACAGGTGAAATAGTTTGAGCCAAGCCTTCTTGGCTGCAAGATCGAATATGGATTCGTCCCCCTGTGGACTGACGCTTGTCAACGACTGGTTTGTTGTCAAGGCATCAACCACGGCCTGGCCGCGCGCAAAGAACAATGGCAGACTCTGAGACAACACCGAAGCTCTTGCTACCCAAAGTTGTCTCCTGCCCTCGCAGAATGCTGACGCTATCCCACTGGGTACACTCATGTGTACACTCTATCTGAAAGCAGAGAAGACACTCTCTGTGATATACCTTACACCATCTTACACCATCTTACACCATCTTACACCATCTTACACCATCTTACACCATCTTACACCATCTTACACCATCTTACACCATCTTACACCATCTTATACCATCTTACACCATCTTACACCATCTTACACCATCTTACACCATCTTACACCATCTTACACCATCTTACATCATCTTACACCTCCGCAGGCCAAAGGTGCCAAAGTCAGCCCCACAACTTCACCAGACTTCAACAGTTTGGGAAGAGCGCGACCGCTCCCGCCTTGCCCATCAAGGCTCCGCTGCCCCGCCACGGATTTTGGAGGTCGAGACTCACGATTTGACTCGTGGCCAAAGCCTGGGACGACAAAAGATGACACGTATAGCTTGAAATTGGGATGCCAATGGACCGGCAAAATATCGCAAAATCATGCAAAATCTGCTTTTCTTTGTTTTCAGTGATAGTTTTGATCTACTTACTGATGACCATCTGTCGCAAGAAATGCACTGAACCAAGTCCCTGGCCTTGCCAAAGGCTTCAGCTGCTTCTTCCCTACATTGGAAGGTATCGAGCTTCAAAGTCTTGAGACTTCTGTACAACGGCAGCGCCTCCGCCAGGGCAAAAATTTCTTGTTCTGGAAGTCCTTTCAGGACTAGGTGTTCACATACAGCAACTTTTTCGTCGAAGATCTTCTTCTGAAGTTTAACGACAATCGGCAAGTCTTCATCCCTATGGGTAAACTTTGCAAGCTTCACTATTTCCTTGAATTTGTCAGGGGTCAACGGCACTGTACCAGTTAAACCCTTAACCTGACCAGGTTTGACTTGGTCGGAACCTAGCCAGTCAATACGCTGGCTTTGTGAATTATGAGTTCGAAGTGAAGACCAAGAAATTTCACCGATGCACCAGCCGCGCTCAAGGTATTCAGTTCTATTTTTTATGAGACAATTCAAGGGTTTCGATTTGATGCTTTGCAGTTTGTCGTCCCAAACAGGAATGAGTTCTTGGTCATTTTTCATTGTTGATTCCCACACATCCGTGGGAGTCAGATGTATTATAAAAGTCATGGTGCATTCATGTGCGTACATGATATGCATGTTAGCCATTGCTGCTCTGAAGCTTCTTTCCTCCTCCTGAAACAAGCGCTCGTACTGAAACAAGGACGTGAAATCGTAAAAAATCCACACATCAGTTTCGAAAGCAGCTTCATACCACGCAGCGCGATCAGCAATAAGCTGTAGTTGATATCTGCAAGGGTCGGGATGCTCCCGAGTCTCCCATGCATGTGAAACCGAGCAAATGGTCGCAGTCCGGGCTGCTGCTGCCCAATTCTGCACTTCTGCGTGGCTGACTAAGGCACTTTCGGCCTTGCCATCAAATTCAAACTTGCAAAGCTCCGCTTCTTGTCGCCGCGGAAGCGGCCGCTTGGATTGGGCCAAGTCATGAAGATACCTGGAAGAGAAGCAAGACACTCCGGTTGTGGAGGTGGAGTTTGAAAGGTACTCCAGGGGATGCGTTGCTCTTTCTAATTTATTGAACCTGTATAGACTGACTTGCACCACCCAAAAGTGGGGTTGCTCAAAGCAATTAGCTTATTTTTCCGAACTGAAACCAGCACCAGCAGCAATGGATGAAAACATGATGAAACTACGCGGAGCCAGTGGCCTCAATATATGTGGTGTCGTTGTATTGGAAGTATTGCGCATGTTGCAACGACTGAGGATCGAACTTTGCTCTGATCAATCGGATGTCTGCATCCTGAAGAAACTGCGCAAAGGCATGTGGCTCTTTCAGGTCATATCGGTGAGCCTTGGCACAAGTGGACCCCAGAGAAAATAGAAATGTCTTATCCAGTTCTTCCAATTGTCTGGGTCAAGAACACATCGGAAGAAGCGAGGACCTGCCTACGTCTACTAGGGAAACATCTGCTAAGTACATCCCTCGGAACTTGTCTGGAGTCAGACTGGCCCTGCGGCCGCGTCATGGCCTGTTGGCCCTATTTAATGTGCTGCTGTAGCTGTAGCTGTCATTCCATGTTATTTCGGGATCTTCTGAAACTCCAGGATTGAAACTTGCATCACCTTGCATCCGTTCACCTTTCTGGGACACTAAAGCCAAGAGCAAAGAGTGCCTGAACCCCGAGACAAATCAGTTTTCTAGATCCTGATGATTGAAATTTGAGCGACATTCGACAATGTTGAGATATATCAGCTGGTTGTGTTTTCAACTGACCATAGTCATATTGGTTCAACAAGGATTTGCTTCAGTATCTGCAATATATCTGCATGTACCACGATAAATCATCTGCAACCACTCCAACGTATGGAACTATGTAATTGTGCTGTCTGGCAAGGCACGTGGCCTACATGGTGCAAATCTCTCGGTCACACATGTCACATTCAACAACCCCTATGCTGCAACATAAAGTCCGGCCAGAGTTCAAACTGAACGTCATAAGACTTGCCAACAATTTCAATCAACCGTATTCTCCATATACCTCTGTGATGTGTAGCAGTGCTACATACTGACGATTGCCGATGATTGGCCCTAATTTTGGCCATGAAAAAGTTGGGAAAGGGCATTTGAAACCGTTGAAACCATTGACAAATTATGAGAAATTGAGGTTCGAAGCTCGGCCCAGGTCATCTCGAGGAGCCTCCAGGTCGTTCAGCACGGCCTGGATTGCTGCCTGCACAGGGTCAGCATGGGTCAGCTGACATCGGATATCCATAGAATACTGCGCGGAAAATTTGCTTCGCGCTACAAATTCTGAATCTTTCCTGGCATATGACACCACCAGAACAGAGCATCTTTCATTGCCATGGGATGTGATCAGAATTGTCTCATTGGTGAAACCTTTTGACCCAGATTCTTCCACAGCGATGTCAACTCCACGTTCGGCACCTCGGCCTTGCTGTTTGCAGCGGTAAATAGCGCGAAGTTCCGCAGCAAAGTCTTCATTTCATCCTGCTATGCTGCTGTAAGAATAAACATGTGGTCAACTAACTGCCCTTCTGCAAACTTTTGACTGGCAACGGGCACTCTGCTCACTGTCCACTGGGTCTGACAAAACATGGCAAAGCGCTGAACAACCAAGGCCAAGAAAGAGGCAGGAAGAATGCAACCAACCCATGTACTCTTTGTTCAAAGAATTTCTTGAATCATGTGCCTACACTGAACCACGCAACGCTGAGTCCTGCTTCTTCACATCTGAAAGCTGACGTTCCAGTTTTGCCTCATGGTGGAATGGGGAGGGCCGGTAGGCGCTTGGAGGTTCAAAGGTTCTACTTTATATATGCAATGATATATATGTTTTTTTCCAATGGCCATCGGAATGGGTATCCTCTCAGCGGATGATCCTTGCAGTGTAGCAACATCAAGAAAACAACCTAGGCATTGCTAGCACTAAGAGATATGACCGTTCCATGATCCGGAGTTGAAACAAAATATGATAAGTCTCGTCTTGATCTTAATGGACAATGCACTTCCAATTGAACTGATTCCACCAAACACTTCCAACTCAACTGATTCCACCAAATCTGCCCTCGCCAACTCGACTGAACCTCCAATTTCTTTCGCTCGGCTCTTTGTCTCTGAAGGTCTTTACAGGACGTCTTCAACAAAGCCTTTCCATGGAATAAGACTGAAATTGGAAAACACAAATCAAAATCACGGAAATGTTTCTTTGCTGTGCTCTGTCTGCTCTAGGTTTTACTCTAAAGACTCTAAAGGCTACATGGCTAATCATTCCAAGTCTTTATTGGAGAGTAAGGGCCGGTCGTGATGGATGAGATATGTTAGCAACACTTCCACTGGAGAATCTCGTCCCGAAGTTACGTCTGGCACCGCATCGGCCTTCACAGCGTCATCTGACTGCTGAAGCTCCGCCAGGAGCAGCAGCTCGTCCCGTCCAATCGCCTCGAGCAACGCTCAAACAGTAAAGTTAGACGCCATGGCCAGGACATGGCCAGGACATGGCCTGGGCCCATTCTCTACAGATCAACTACATCTTGACATCTTAACATCGTGTGACTGAGCAGCGCAAGTGATGTCTTCCAAACAGGAGGGGTGCCAGATTTCACTAGATGAAAGAAAAAGGCAGAAATCGCAAGAAATGAAATATAATTTCGTTGCGGTCAGAGGGACGGAAACAAAACCATGTCCCGGATTGTCCTGGTCCCCTTGTACTAAAACTGGGTGCGAATCAAACGACTTTGTATTTCAAGCCATGTCACCGAAACAAAAGGAAATTGTAGGAAAATATTGAGCATGATTTAATGTGTTTAATTAGTCGCAATAAGTTCCAATATGTTGCAAATGCAAAACTGCTGTGCCTAGTCGAAATTCTAAATGACGAGAAGAGCATGTAAATAAAAGCGAAACAGCTTGCCAAACATGTCCAAAAAGTTGTTGGCTTCTGCGACAAAGAATGTCAGCTTTGACAGCTGCAGCTACTATCAGCTACTCAGAGTTCTTAGAAAAGCAACCTGGCTTACCCAGTTCTTACCATGACCTCCTGCCCGGATGACACGCGCCAGAATGAAGCCGTGTTGCTTACATTCTTTATGTCTCTTCAACCATTGTGAGAGAAATCCCGGTCCTGTGCCGACTTGTTTCTTCTGTTTCGTTTTCAGAGGATGCCAGCCTCATTCTCTGTAAGCTGCTGTAGTGCCTGCCATGGGGTGCCACAAATTTCTTTGTAAAGACAAAATCTGTTGATCCGCAAGTTCTTTTATAGGATTTTAGCCGACTTTCTGTATCAATATGCCACACCGTAACTCGAAAGTCTTCTATTCCGAATCACGGCCGGCAAGGATACAAACGAATGATCCGCACAATGGTGGGGGATGGCAGGGATAGATTGGTGGAAGGTCCCAAAGTCTGTGATTTGGCCTCCGAAGCGTCATTTTCAGCCTGCAATTCTTGTATGTCCTTCAGCGCTTTCTGGACCTGTTCCTGCAACACCAGTCATGAGATAAGCATGGGGGCTTGTGTGTGGGTGGGTGTTCGAGACAAAGGGCTGGCTTTGGTCACCCAAAATCCTTTTTTCCAACCAGGAAGCGGCACACATAGAAACTATTATCACCTAGCGCACTCTTTCAGGCCATTCATCTTCCACTTCAGGTGTGATGCAATCAAGAAAAAACACGAACCAATTTCAGGTCTGAACCCCAACCCACTCCACGCTTTGCACCTCTGTGTTCGTGCTTTCAACTGTCTGAGCCGCCAAATCTCCCAGCAAAGATCGGATTTCTTCCTGCCATAGGGGCAGAGATGTAGTTGAGAATTGCTCTAATGCAAATCAGTGACCCTTCAACTTGAGGCCCAGGGGGGGTGAACGAAAGCTAAATGGCAAATGAATGTGGAACTAGGTGAGGTGAACTCGGAAACATGCAGGGAAGGGTAGACGAGAGTGATCCACATGGAAGGATGCAAGAGGGTGTTGCAGAAGAAGTGTAAGTTTCAAGTTGCGGTCCTATAACATGTGAAGCATGGGTAGTGGAAAAAGTTAGAAGACGGTTTCGCAAGAAAGTTTGCAACATGTGGAACAAAGAAGATGTTGACTTTATTATAAAGTTTGGGCCCCATCGAAAATTATAATTTTCCATGGGGCTCAAATCGACACAGTGTTGACCTGAGTTAGAAAGAACGCTATGGAGCCTAAATTCTGGTGAGGCAAGTCGGAAAACATCAGAACCAAAGAAGATGGTGCCGCTAGAAAGTTTGGAACATGTGGAGCAAAGAAGATGGTGACTCTATTATAAAGTTTGGGCCCCATCGAAAATTTCAAATCGAGACAGTGTTGACCGGAGGTCGAAAGAACGTTATGGAGTCTAAATTCTGGTGAGGCACGTGGCCTACATGGTGCAAATCTCTCGGTCACACATGTCACATTCAACAACCCCTATGCTGCAACATAAAGTCCGGCCAGAGTTCAAACTGAACGTCATAAGACTTGCCAACAATTTCAATCAACCGTATTCTCCATATACCTCTGTGATGTGTAGCAGTGCTACATACTGACGATTGCCGATGATTGGCCCTAATTTTGGCCATGAAAAAGTTGGGAAAGGGCATTTGAAACCGTTGAAACCATTGACAAATTATGAGAAATTGAGGTTCGAAGCTCGGCCCGGGTCATCTCGAGGAGCCTCCAGGTCATTCAGCGCCTGGCACATGACACCACCAGAACAGAGCATCTTTCATTGCCATGGGATGTGATCAGAATTGTCTCATTGGTGAAACCTTTTGACCCAGATTCTTCCACAGCGATGTCAACTCCACGTTCGGCACCTCGGCCTTGCTGTTTGCAGCGGTAAATAGCGCGAAGTTCCGCAGCAAAGTCTTCATTTCATCCTGCTATGCTGCTGTAAGAATAAACATGTGGTCAACTAACTGCCCTTCTGCAAACTTTTGACTGGCAACGGGCACTCTGCTCACTGTCCACTGGGTCTGACAAAACATGGCAAAGCGCTGAACAACCAAGGCCAAGAAAGAGGCAGGAAGAATGCAACCAACCCATGTATATACTCTTTGTTCAAAGAATTTCTTGAATCATGTGCCTACACTGAACCACGCAACGCTGAGTCCTGCTTCTTCACATCTGAAAGCTGACGTTCCAGTTTTGCCTCATGGTGGAATGGGGAGGGCCGGTAGGCGCTTGGAGGTTCAAAGGTTCTACTTTATATATGCAATGATATATTTTTTTTTCCAATGGCCATCGGAATGGGTATCCTCTCAGCGGATGATCCTTGCAGTGTAGCAACATCAAGAAAACAACCTAGGCATTGCTAGCACTAAGAGATATGACCGTTCCATGATCCGGAGTTGAAACAAAATATGATAAGTCTCGTCTTGATCTTAATGGACAATGCACTTCCAATTGAACTGATTCCACCAAACACTTCCAACTCAACTGATTCCACCAAATCTGCCCTCGCCAACTCGACTGAACCTCCAATTTCTTTCGCTCGGCTCTTTGTCTCTGAAGGTCTTTACAGGACGTCTTCAACAAAGCCTTTCCATGGAATAAGACTGAAATTGGAAAACACAAATCACAAATCACGGAAATGTTTCTTTGCTGTGCTCTGTCTGCTCTAGGTTTTACTCTAAAGACTCTAAAGGCTACATGGCTAATCATTCCAAGTCTTTATTGGAGAGTAAGGGCCGGTCGTGATGGATGAGATATGTTAGCAACACTTCCACTGGAGAATCTCGTCCCGAAGTTACGTCTGGCACCGCATCGGCCTTCACAGCGTCATCTGACTGCTGAAGCTCCGCCAGGAGCAGCAGCTCGTCCCGTCCAATCGCCTCGAGCAACGCTCAAACAGTAAAGTTAGACGCCATGGCCAGGACATGGCCAGGACATGGCCTGGGCCCATTCTCTACAGATCAACTACATCTTGACATCTTAACATCGTGTGACTGAGCAGCGCAAGTGATGTCTTCCAAACAGGAGGAGTGCCAGATTTCACTAGATGAAAGAAAAAGGCAGAAATCGCAAGAAATGAAATATAATTTCGTTGCGGTCAGGGACGGAAACAAAACCATGTCCCGGATTGTCCTGGTCCCCTTGTACTAAAACTGGGTGCGAATCAAACGACTTTGTATTTCAAGCCATGTCACCGTAACAAAAGGAAATTGTAGGAAAATATTGAGCATGATTTAATGTGTTTAATTTAGTCGCAATAAGTTCCAATATGTTGCAAATGCAAAACTGCTGTGCCTAGTCGAAATTCTAAATGACGAGAAGAGCATGTAAATAAAAGCGAAACAGCTTGCCAAACATGTCCAAAAAGTTGTTGGCTTCTGCGACAAAGAATGTCAGCTTTGACAGCTGCAGCTACTATCAGCTACTCTGAGTTCTTAGAAAAGCTACCTGCCTTACCCAGTTCTTACCATGACCTCCTGCCCGGATGACACGCACCAGAATGAAGCCGTGTTGCTTACATTCTTTATGTCTCTTCAACCGTTGTGAGAGAAATCCCGGTCCTGTGCCGACTTGTTTCTTCTGTTTCGTTTTCAGAGGATGCCAGCCTCATTCTCTGTAAGCTGCTGCAGTGCCTGCCATGGGGTGCCACAAATTTCTTTGTAAAGACAAAATCTGTTGATCCGCAAGTTCTTTTACAGGATTTTAACCAACTTTCTGTAGCAATATGCCACACCGTAACTCGAAAGTCTTCTATTCCGAATCACGGCCGGCAAGGATACAAACGAATGATCCGCACAATGGTGGGGCATGGCGGGGATAGATTGGTGGAAGGTCCCAAAGTCTGTGATTTGGCCTCCAAAGCGTCATTTTCAGCCCGCAATTCTTGTATGTCCTTCAGCGCTTTCTGGACCTGTTCCTGCAACACCAGTCATGAGATAAGCATGGGGGCTTGTGTGTGGGTGGGTGTTCGAGACAAAGGGCTGGCTTTGGTCACCCACAATCCTTTTTTCCAACCAGGAAGCGGCACACATAGAAACTATCACCTAGCCCATTCACCAAAGCCGCACTCTTTCAGGCCATTCATCTTCCACTTCAGGTGTGATGCAATCAAGAAAAAACACGAACCAATTTCAGGTCTGAACCCCAACCCACTCCACGCTTTGCACCTCTGTGTTCGTGCTTTCAACTGTCTGATCCGCCAAATCTCCCAGCAAAGATCGGATTTCTTCCTGCCATAGGGGCAGAGATGTAGTTGAGAATTGCTCTAATGCAAATCAGTGACCCTTCAAATATCAATTTCAAATTCCAGCAGCTAGCAACCAAACGAAACATACAGTATCCGCTGCACATCTTGTTGCAGTAAAATGATTCTCTGCACTGACGTGGAGTCGATTCCGGGACCCTGCACCCCATGATGACCATGGCGGCATGCGTGCTGTCCTTCTCTGGTGTCGAATCTGGGAATTGACACTCGAGGGCGTTCAGCTTTTCCTTCTGGAAAAGGTTGTGGGCCAGAATTCACTGAGCGTACTCAAGGTTGCTAAATTTTCAGTTCCACCGTAAGTTCCACCCATTCCATTCCTGCCACAACATTGCCAGAATGATGCCCCATAGAATTTTTGACTGGAAGTATGTGACAATCCACTGTCATGTCAGTTGACTCTATACTACTATACCCAACAATTCTTGTCTCAGGAGAAAAATAATATAACATTCGGTGGGCCCAAATACTGCAAAAAAAGTGGCTGGCCTGGAGAATATCACCAACATCCTGCTTTAACATCACAAACCATCACAAACCACGAACACACAGCTGAACCTCCAGGAACTGTCGCTCAAACTTCTTCTTCAGGAGTTCAGTGCGAGATGATTTCACTTGAGCCTTTCATCAAGAAACCGGGCAGTCCATCACCCAGAATCGAAGACTGCAGTTTTGTTTCACTGACTTGCAGCTCCAGTGTGCCTCCAGAGTGTCTTTCCGCAGCTGCAAGTCCGACGAAGCTGGCGCACCAAAATGTTGAAGTGGCTCCTCCAACCCCATGCAGATTAACACCATCCTAATACATCATGAAGCATCATGAAGCTGTCCAGCGTCTGATTGATTTCTGAGTTCGATGTTTTCTTCTGAACACAGTTTGCATTTTGGCATGACTCAGAAATGTCGGCGGAGGTATAGTCAAGAGATGATCTGCCAACCTGAAACCTGTTTGTTTTATCACCCGCCTTCTTTGCCTTATTTTTCTTTCTCTTCTTAGTCCCCGATTGAAAGTTCCAATCTCCTGTCTACTAAAAGCTCAGCCGAATTCCTATAATGCGATGGCTATCTTGTGGGATGGTCCCATCAGTCTTGTAACAAGAAGCACAGGGCATTGCTATCATCCAAGATATGACAGATCCAGAGTCGAAACAAAATCCAATTCAGCTCTGTGCATATTTTAATAGATATCGCTTTGATAGACAGTCCACTTCCAACTCAATCAACTCAACTGATTCCATGATTCCGCCAAATCTGCCCTCGCTGACTGGGCTGAACCTCGGGATGATCTCGTTCAGCTCTTTGTCTCCGAGAGTCGTCACAAGATGTCTTCAACAGAGCCTTTCCACAGAGATATACAGAGACGTTTCTTTGGTGTGCTCTGCTCTGGATTGTGCTCCAAAGGCTATGCGGCTAACCATTTCTAAGTCTTCACTGGACTGTTGTCGTGATGGATCGGATATGACATAGCGAATGCGGATTTCCCCCGTATGAAGCACACCATGGATCTCGTCCCGAGGCTTGCAACATCTGGCGACACGGAGTGCATCGGCCTTCACGGCATTTGAATCATTTGACTGCTGATGCTGAAGCTCCGCCGGCTCGGGCAGCTCGTCCCGTCCAGTCGCCTCAACAGCCATGGCCCATCCCCTATGGACTCTATGGAACTGTTGACTTCGACCGAGCAGCACAAGGGGTTTCTTCCAGGATGGTTGCCGCATTCACTACATTTCATTTATAGAGAAGAAGAAAGGCAAACAATCCAAAAATGAAACACATGTCCTCGCGGTCATCAGGATTATAACGAAAACAAGTTTTGGTGGTACTGAAGCTGTGTGCAAATCAAACGACTATGTATTTCAGGCCATGCCACCGTGATATGGGAAACGTTAAGCAACATAAGATAATATGGCTAATTCAAACAATCGCAACCAGTTGTAATTGCAAAATTGTTGCACCTAATCAATGTTTTATTCAAAAAAATAAGCTGCAGTATCCCCAACAGCCACAACGTTTTATCTTTACAAATCATGTTGAAGTGTGCTGCGAAGCCAAGCGCTGGAAACACCTCAGCTGGGTTTCCGTGAGTTAAATACCCGCAAATCCTGTTGAACCTGACCTGACTCTGGACCAAGCCTCCCAGACCTTCTCCGGAACCTTCTCCAGAACCCTGTTGAACCTGACCTGGCTCTGCACCAAAGCCTCCCAGACCTTCTCCGGAACCTTCGGAACCCTGCTGAACCTGACCTGGCTCTGCACCAAAGCCTCCCGGAACCTTCTCCGGAACCTTTTTCACCTGGCTTTGCACCAGGCTTTGCACCAAAGCCTCCCAGACCTCCTCCGGAACCTTCTCCAGAGCTGTTGAACCTCACCTGGCTCTGCACCAAAGCCTCCCAGACCTTCTCCGGAACTTTCTCCGGAACCCTGTTGAACCTGACTTAGCTTTGCACCAAGGTTTCCTGGAACCTTCTCCGGAACCTTCGGAACTTTCTCTGGAACCTCGTTGAACCTGACCCGGCGCCTGCACCAGTGCACACCGGAGCTATTCTGGGCTGAAGACCCCATTGGCTTACACTGTTGGGGAAAAAAAATATATACACACAACGACAAGCAGTGATAGCCCGGAAAGCACGTATTCGTTTCGATATCTTCGAGTCAGAGTTCGATGATTGATTCTTATCGTTTTGTGACAGCACAGTATTGGAACTAGTGTGGTGGTCATCCAATGGGTGGCGCCACCGGTCCACTCAATTCGTCCATAGGGCACGATACTGTAAAAACCATCCCATGTAGGTATGGAGAAATAAGATACTTTTCAAGCGACCAAACATGTGCTGATCCCTATCATTAAGTGCGCAATTCTACCATATTCTACCCAATTTCAAGCACTTAAGACTTAGATCACCATGTTTGCACCATGTTCCATGTTTGGTGGTCATACCGTCATATCTCAAGCTTTGCTGAATCAATCCCCACTGAAAACTGAATCCACTGAAATCCTGCACTTAAACCCAGTTCCTCCCCACCACGGGCCTTGCATTTCCGCAGCCCTGCCTCCTCACGCATATCTTGTTGCAATAGCTCCTGGCATGGCCACAGATGGATTTTGCTAAAGTGCTGGTTCTGAGTTCACTGCTCCATATGCGGAAAACTCTATGGCACACGGTGCCCCGTGCGGCCCCTGCCACCCTGAAACCATCCCCAGACATGTCTTTTCAAAGAATTTCGCCCATCCGAGCGCACCATCTGCTCCGCAATCTCTGCCTTCAGACGCTCCAATTCCTGCGAGGAACGCAGCTCCAGGCTGAAGCCTAGACTCCAGTTGGGGACGATCGTTGAAGATGATGCAGTTTCACAATGAGACATTTCAAGCGACCAAACATGTGCTGATCCCTATCATTAAGTGCGCAATTCTACCATATTCTACCCAATTTCAAGCACTTAAGACTTAGATCACCATGTTTGCACCATGTTCCATGTTTGGTGGTCATACCGTCATATCTCAAGCTTTGCTGAATCAATCCCCACTGAAAACTGAATCCACTGAAATCCTGCACTTAAACCCATTTCCTCCCCACCACGGGCCTTGCATTTCCGCAGCCCTGCCTCCTCACGCATATCTTGTTGCAATAGCTCCTGGCATGGCCACAGATGGATTTTGCTAAAGTGCTGGTTCTGAGTTCACTGCTCCATATGCGGAAACCTCTATGGCACACGGTGCCCCGTGCGGCCCCTGCCACCCTGAAACCATCCCCAGACATGTCTTTTCAAAGAATTTCGCCCATCCGAGCGCACCATCTGCTCCGCAATCTCTGCCTTCAGACGCTCCAATTCCTGCGAGGAACGCAGCTCCAGGCTGAAGCCTAGACTCCAGTTGGGGACGATCGTTGAAGATGATGCAGTTTCACAATGAGACATTTCAAGCGACCAAACATGTGCTGATCCCTATCATTAAGTGCGCAATTCTACCATATTCTACCCAATTTCAAGCACTTAAGACTTAGATCACCATGTTTGCACCATGTTCCATGTTTGGTGGTCATACCGTCATATCTCAAGCTTTGCTGAATCAATCCCCACTGAAAACTGAATCCACTGAAATCCCTGCACTTAAACCCATTTCCTCCCCACCACGGGCCTTGCATTTCCGCAGCCCTGCTCCTCACGCATATCTTGTTGCAATAGCTCCTGGCATGGCCACAGATGGATTTTGCTAAAGTGCTGGTTCTGAGTTCACTGCTCCATATGCGGAAAACTCTATGGCACACGGTGCCCCGTGCGGCCCCTGCCACCCTGAAACCATCCCCAGACATGTCTTTTCAAAGAATTTCGCCCATCCGAGCGCACCATCTGCTCCGCAATCTCTGCCTTCAGACGCTCCAATTCCTGCGAGGAACGCAGCTCCAGGCTGAAGCCTAGACTCCAGTTGGGGACGATCGTTGAAGATGATGCAGTTTCACAATGAGACATTTCAAGCGACCAAACATGTGCTGAGCCCTATCATTAAGTGCGCAATTCTACCATATTCTACCCAATTTCAAGCACTTAAGACTTAGATCACCATGTTTGCACCATGTTCCATGTTTGGTGGTCATACCGTCATATCTCAAGCTTTGCTGAATCAATCCCTTCCCCACTGAAAACTGAATCCACTGAAATCCCTGCACTTAAACCCATTTCCTCCCCACCACGGGCCTTGCATTTTCGCAGCCCTGCCTCCTCACGCATATCTTGTTGCAATAGCTCCTGGCATGGCCACAGATGGATTTTGCTAAAGTGCTGGTTCTGAGTTCACTGCTCCATATGCGGAAAACTCTATGGCACACGGTGCCCCGTGCGGCCCCTGCCACCCTGAAACCATCCCCAGACATGTCTTTTCAAAGAATTTCGCCCATCCGAGCGCACCATCTGCTCCGCAATCTCTGCCTTCAGACGCTCCAATTCCTGCGAGGAACGCAGCTCCAGGCTGAAGCCTAGACTCCAGTTGGGGACGATCGTTGAAGATGATGCAGTTTCACAATGAGACATTTCAAGCGACCAAACATGTGCTGAACCCTATCATTAAGTGCGCAATTCTACCATATTCTACCCAATTTCAAGCACTTAAGACTTACAGTAATCTTGGCTGCAGGAGTTATAATCTCATTAATAATTGTTAAGGGCTACAACTGCAAACTGATTTATCACATGAACCAAATTCATCCATAGACCTTGGGCACTACTGTATATGCAAAATCCATAGGAAACCCCTAACATAAATACCAGACTCATTCACCAAACTCATTTGGGCTACTACACTAGATATTGCGGGTAAGCGCAAAACCCATACAAAACTCCTAACATAGATCCAATACTACTTCACTCAGCATGCCAAAATCACTCAGGCTACCACTAACAGAGATGTTGGAAATTAAGTGCAACATACATAACAAAACCACTAACATAGATATTCATTTGGATTTGCCAAGATGCGAAACCACTAACGTAGATCTTGGACAACGTGTTGCAAAATGTAAAACCATAGAAAACCACGAACATAGCTCTTGGGTTTCCTATGTAAAACCCACATTTCGAGACTAACATAGATATTGGAACATTTATCAGGACCCTTCCAGAAAACAAACGAGGATGTCGTTTTTTTTCCGTCAATTTTGACATCTTTGTTTGTTTCAAAGAGAGTAGATCACCATGTTTGCACCATGTTTGGTGGTCATACCGTCATATCTCAAGCTTTGCTGAATCCAAGCTTCCCCAACTGAAAACTGAATCCACTGAAATCCTGCACTTAAACCCATTTCCTCCCCACCACGGGCCTTGCATTTCCGCAGCCCTGCCTCCCCACGCATATCTTGTTGCAATAGCTCCTGGCATGGCCACAGATGGATTTTGCTAAAGTGCTGGTTCTGAGTTCACTGCTCCATATGCGGAAAACTCTATGGCACACGGTGCCCCGTGCGGCCCCTGCCACCCTGAAACCATCCCCAGACATGTCTTTTCAAAGAATTTCGCCCATCCGAGCGCACCATCTGCTCCGCAATCTCTGCCTTCAGACGCTCCAATTCCTGCGAGGAACGCAGCTCCAGGCTGAAGCCTAGACTCCAGTTGGGGACGATCGTTGAAGATGATGCAGTTTCACAATGAGACATTTCAAGCGACCAAACATGTGCTGAGCCCTATCATTAAGTGCGCAATTCTACCATATTCTACCCAATTTCAAGCACTTAAGACTTAGATCACCATGTTTGCACCATGTTCCATGTTTGGTGGTCATACCGTCATATCTCAAGCTTTGCTGAATCAATCCCCACTGAAAACTGAATCCACTGAAATCCTGCACTTAAACCCATTTCCTCCCCACCACGGGCCTTGCATTTCCGCAGCCCTGCCTCCTCACGCATATCTTGTTGCAATAGCTCCTGGCATGGCCACAGATGGATTTTGCTAAAGTGCTGGTTCTGAGTTCACTGCTCCATATGCGGAAAACTCTATGGCACACGGTGCCCCGTGCGGCCCCTGCCACCCTGAAACCATCCCCAGACATGTCTTTTCAAAGAATTTCGCCCATCCGAGCGCACCATCTGCTCCGCAATCTCTGCCTTCAGACGCTCCAATTCCTGCGAGGAACGCAGCTCCAGGCTGAAGCCTAGACTCCAGTTGGGGACGATCGTTGAAGATGATGCAGTTTCACAATGAGACATTTCAAGCGACCAAACATGTGCTGATCCCTATCATTAAGTGCGCAATTCTACCATATTCTACCCAATTTCAAGCACTTAAGACTTACAGTAATCTTGGCTGCAGGAGTTATAATCTCATTAATAATTGTTAAGGGCTACAACTGCAAACTGATTTATCACATGAACCAAATTCATCCATAGACCTTGGGCATTACTGTATATGCAAAATCCTCAGGAAACCCCTAACATAAATACCAGACTCATTCACCAAACTCATTTGGGCTACTACACTAGATATTGCGGGTAAGCGCAAAACCCATACAAAACTCCTAACATAGATCCAATACTACTTCACTCAGCATGCCAAAATCACTCAGGCTACCACTAACAGAGATGTTGGAAATTAAGTGCAACATACATAACAAAACCACTAACATAGATATTCATTTGGATTTGCCAAGATGCGAAACCACTAACGTAGATCTTGGACAACGTGTTGCAAAATGTAAAACCATAGAAAACCACGAACATAGCTCTTGGGTTTCCTATGTAAAACCCACATGTGGAGACTAACATAGATATTGGAACATTTATCAGGACCCTTCCAGAAAACAAACGAGCATGTCGCTTTTTTTCCGTCAATTTTGACATCTTTGTTTGTTTCAAAGAGAGTAGATCACCATGTTTGCACCATGTTTGGTGGTCATACCGTCATATCTCAAGCTTTGCTGAATCAATCCCCACTGAAAACTGAATCCACTGAAATCCCTGCACTTAAACCCATTTCCTCCCCACCACGGGCCTTGCATTTCCGCACATGTGCCTCCGCATACATCTCTTGTAGTAGCTCCTGGCATGGCTAAAGATGGATTTTGCTAAAGTGCTGGTTCCGAGTTCACTGCTCCATATGCGGACAACTCTATGGCACAAGGTGCCCCGTGCAACCCCTGCCACCCTGAAACCATCCCCAGACATGTCGTTTCAAAGAATTTCGCCCATCCGAGCGCACCATCTGCTCCGCAATCTCTGCCTTCAGACGCTCCAATTCCTGCGAGGAACGCACAAGTTCACCACCCATTTCTGGTCAAATTGGGAGTGGTTTATAGTGGTTTATTGCTGGAATTACATGGATTTACCACAGAAGGATACAGAAGGCTTTTTATTCATACGCTAAGGTTGTTTATTCGTGTATTATTCGAATGTATTCGAAGAAGTTGAGTTTACCACAGAAAATTGGGAACATGTCAGGAGATGTCTGGAATGCACCATTGCTCTACATTATCAAAGGGAAGGTCATCTCACCTGGACTATTTGAATGTTTGGATTTCTAATGTTGGACACCTAACCAGGTGTATAGATGAAGTGAAGAGAGTGGAAACGATGCCAGTTTTGACCAGGGCAAATGTCAAACAAACAGACTTGAACCAAGCAAGAAGTGGAGATCAGGGGACTTTCAGAAGGAGTCCTCGTCTTCTTTGGCGCCTCTGCTTTTCAGCTGGGCTCTCCTCTCCGGCATGGCCTCGGGCGGGGACGGTTTTCAAGCTGGAGGTATGACCCTTACAGATGCTGTGATACACCGGTTGATCTGAGACTTGTCGTAGTGAGGATTTAATTCGCGCAGCCTTGGGTTGGCCTCTCTCCTGATGAACACTATGTCACTATGTCACTATGTCCTGCTCACCAGCAGAAATGGTATCAAGCAGAAAGACCTTCAATCAACAGACTAATCACAAAAAGAGGCTCCATAGATTCCATGGACCATGGCCCACCGACCCACAACAAGCCTTCGTCCCACAACTCCCCAGACCTCCAGGCTATCCATCTGCGAGCAGATCTGCGTGGATAACCCTTCCACCAGCTGTACACAGTTACCAACTGTCCAACTGTATCACAACTGTCAAATTGACAAAGTGCATATCCTCAAAATGTGAAATTGATTTTCTGATCATCTCAGACATCTCACGACTTTTCCGGATTTCGTTGGCATCCCGGAACCCCTTTCTGAGTTTCCCCACATCGGCTTCCACCGTCTCTGCCGCAACCTGCGCCTGGCGACGAACACCTGTCGTCGTTGGGCCCGCTGAAGGGGATGGATCGGTGAAAGATCTGGAAGCCTGTAAAAGCTGGTGAAATTGACCTCAACTGATGACCCATTAAAATTGAAAATAGTCGAAAATTATGGGGGAAAAGACGTTGAACAAATGAGGCGCACAAGGTGCAAAATGCACGACTGACTGGCTTTCCGATGTCGATGTTTTCTTGGGAAACATCTCGAAACGCTCCAACCTTGACGCAAAGCGGCAAACATTCGGCCGGCCAACACTCGGCCGGCCAACACTCGGCTGCTCGATCTGGTAGGCGAAGCCGAAGCCATTCCTGCCAGAAATCTGCAGCCGTTTGAAGCTTAACTTGCCATTTGGAGCACGGCTCTTCTAATGTGTTCTAATGTAACAAAGTTATCAATAAGCGGAGGCTCGTGCATTTTCCTGAAGAAGTATCTTTAATATAGAGGAAAGGCCTTGGAGGCCCTGGAATACGTCTTGTTCTTTCAAAACATGCCAATTTCTTGGCCTTTTGGCCGTGCTGCCTCTTGTCTTTTAAGTTAGGCTATAGTTAGGCTATAGCATCACCCCTTCAAATGGGACCATAAATGGATCACTGAGATGAGAACATTTCTCAAGGCAAGCAATGAGCCATTCAAGTTTGTGTTTGTTTTCAATTGAAGGGGATGCGTCTATAGACCTTGACATATATTAATATATCCAATATCCATGATTAATTCCATTTACCTGCAAGACATTGGCATTTGGATGCATTTGGCTCAATGAAATCACGCCATCCTCGGCTCATGGCTCCACCGTCGAACTCCCCAACAACTCCTCCGCTCTCGGCAGCACCGGCACTGCTGGCAGTGGTTGTGGGCCGTGGCAACGCATCGGAGGCCGAGGCCGCAGCAGGCACCACCCTTGCCCAGGAACCCTCCATGGCGATCCACGGCTGTGGTTGAAACCCTGGTGGTTGAGGTCATGCTTTCCAACTTTGGAAAATGGAGAATCCATGGAGAATCCATGAGATTATATAGTTCACAATTGCTCACGTATAAATTGAATAATAGGAAATCAATATACATGGATGATATGTTCTGTGCAGGATGTTCCGGTGCAAGTCTGCACACTCCGATCTCGCCATCCTTTTGGTGAGAATTCGAATGTGGCCACTGTTTTTGCAGTTCTCGCCCAATGCTTTCCTCTCAATCCATCTGGTAACCTACTGAATCCGAAATTGCCTCTGATCCACGATCTTCAACGGCGAAAAACCAAAAGAGACTGATATTCTGATATTCACTGCAATCCTGTGGGTATTTGGCATGGCGTGTCACACTTTTTCGCGGTATTTTTCCAGATCCAGCTCCAGCTCGGAGACAGCCGGAGCAAGCCTCAGGCCAGCGATTTGGGGGGTACCGTACCCAGCATGATGCGGACGCGGCGGGCACCCATGGGTATCGCGGCAGGCATGATCTATCTGGGCGCACCCGCATGGTGATGGCCATGTACAGCAACTGCTACACAGATGCCAAGGGCAAAATTCGTGAGCGCCCTCACAGATGTCCTGCTGCCTAAGCAGGCAATTCTACAGCTACCTGAGAAAGGGGGAACGAAAGCCAGCATCCCATCTACCCTTATTTTCCCCCAAAGATTTTTCACCCACAGACTTTTCACCCATATACTTTTCACCCACAGACTTTTCACCCAGAGTCTTTCACCCATATACTTCTCACCCATATACTTTTTACCCAGAGACTCTTCACCCAGAAACTCGTCTTGCACGGACTTTTCACCCGGAGACTTTTCACCCATAGGCTTTTCACCCACATACTTTTCACCCATAGCCCATATACTTTTCACCCATATACTTTTCACCCATATACTTTTCACCCACATACTTTTCACCCACATACTTCTCACCCATATACTTTTCACCCAAGACTGTTCAACCATATACTTTTCACCCACAGACTTTCACCCATACACCTTTAGCCCACACACTTCTCACCCATATACTTTTCACCCAAGGCTGTTCAACCATATACTTTTCACCCACAGACTTATCACCCATAAACTTTTCACCCACAGACTTATCACCCGCAGACTTTTAACCCACAGACTTTTTAACCACAGACTTTTCACAGGCGAGGGGCTCACTTTGGGCATAAATTCGAGCTAAATTGGGTTCACTTTGGGCATAAATGGGTTCATTTTGGGCATAAATGGGTTCACTTTGGGCACAAATGAGCTCACTTTGGGCATAAATGGGCTCACTTTGGGCATAAATGGGCTCACTTTGGGCATAAAAAGCAGAGCCACGACACATTTAGGGTTTATATGTTGTTGCACTTAATCTAAGAAGAGCCCCGGCACCTTCAGGGTTAATATTTTGTTACACTTAATGTCAGGAGAGACACGCTACCTTTAGGGTTTATATGTTGTTGCACTTAATGTAAGAAGAGCCACGACACCTTTCGGGTTTATATGTTGTTACACTTAATGCAACAAGAGCCACGACACCTTTAGGGTTTATATGTTGCTACACTTAATGTAAGAAGAGCCATGGCACCTTTAGGGTTTATGTTAATATGTTGTTGCACTTAATGTCAGAAGAGACACGGCACCTTTAGGTTTATATATGTTTATTCTCAAACATCCAGGCACTACTCAAAGCGCCCCTTTTCCTGCCATGCTCTCTGAGCCACTTGCGTCGGGAGATCACTTCACGATTTGTGCATGTCATCCAGACAACTGAGCTACTGGCCATGCTAATCTTCTCAGTATCGTTTCAAGTGCCAACTGGAGACCTGATTACCTGCAAGCCTACACATGAGTGCATTGACTAAATTCTGACACCCCACCTTGGTAAGGAATTTTCAATCGCTTACCATCTATTGCCACGAAGCGTCAATTCGAATTCTATTGGCCTGGTACATCGGCCATCTGTGCTGCACGCATTTCTTTACATGGTCTCTTACAGCTATAGGCACCTTGAAAAAAAACTTCTCCACTCTCACAAGCTTGGGCTCTTCCATCTGGAGGAATGTCGCGTTGCGAGCTTTGCTCACTACTTTGCATCCTATGCGATATCCATCAAGGCTTCCACCTCTTCGATCGCTCGACTGTAGTTCGCTGCCTCTTCCCAGTTTCCGTGGATAGCAGCGTTGTTGTATCGATTTCGAAGAGTCGCTCTTGCATTGATCAATCGCTGCAAATTGTCATTGGCATAGTTGACCATTCGGCTGTGTTGGTCTGCATCCCAATGACCATGATGAAGACTAGCCCACTCGTCTGGGTCTGATACTTCACCCTGCTCTGAGTTCATGTAGCGAATCCTTCGTGCTTCGGCGGATTCATCTCCAACCATTTCCACATCATCTTCGCCACCTTCTCCAAGTCCATACTGCTCGTCAAGCTCAGACTCGGTAGGTGCTGTGTCAATTCTTCGGCCATTGAGTGCCATTCGCACAATTTCATCGCCATTTTCGTCTGCAAAACCCGGACCATCTACATCAGCCGGATCATCTGCAGGAGGTTGTTCTTCTTCACCGCCTTCTGGCTCTTGTGGTACCGCTTCACGGGGTACATCTGCACGGATCCGCTGTCCTCCAAGGTACTCATCCAAATCAGCATGAATGCTTTCAATGTCCACCATCATATCGCCACGTTGTCCTGCACGTCGGAAACGTTCATGAAGATATGTAATTTCACAACCCAATAGGTAGTGTGCCACCTGCAAGGAAGGTTTGATCAGCAATCTGTGTCTCCATCCCATGGTCTGTGCTGCATGTTGGATTTCAAACCACCGTGTCATCCTGCTGTTTCTCCATGTAGCTGGTCCAATGACCATGAAAATCACCATTGCAAGAATGATCAGGACACCCACGATGTAGATTCCAGCATGAACACTGGTCACAACCAACATCATGACCATGTGCGTCACTTCCGATGTTTTCTCCAAGATTGCTTCCATCACCATTGCAGTTTCTGCGCCACCACCATCGTTGGGCTCGAAGTCCTGTCCACCTGCATCAAGAGATAGTTCAGAACTGCATCCTTTCAACTGAAGACATGCATTCAATGTTGCTGTTGCTACCTGAATGAGTCTCACACACTGCTGTTTTGTCACCTGATTGACCTTTTTCACCCTTCTCAGCTCACTGTCATCGTTTTCCTCACAGCTATCAGCCATGAAAATTCCAATCAAACGACTGAGAAACTTCCTTCGCTCTCCACTGAGTCTCTTGGTGTTCAGATCACTCGGGTTCAGCTTTGTGTTGATCTTGTGGATTGTGAATATTCCAGCTCTCAGAAGGTTTTGAAGATAGAATTGTTTGATCTGCACATGTTTCAACCTTCCCGTGCCAGCTCTTTGCACCAACGCTAGAGCTGATGCTGAGTCAGTGTACAACCGCTGTTGTACCATGCTGTTGTTTGTTTCCTCCTCATCTTTGCACAAGAATTTGCAGAGCCTGTAGAGATACATGCATTCCACCATCAGTCCATTTGCTGCGTACAACTCTGCTTCGCAGCTTGACAAAGCCACTGATGCCTGTGTTCGGCAAATGCTAAGGATCATCGACCCGTTGAGAAATACCAAACCAGAACTTGTGCTGCGGCGAGTCGACTTGCAGTCTGCCCATGAAGAATCGCTGAATGCCTCAAGGTTGAATCTTGCTTCTGACTTCTCCTGGGGCACATTGATTTCTTCGCAAATCATCTCATCTTCTCGCCACGCATCAAAGATACATCTGTCCTCATCAGTGTTTTGCAAAAGTAAACCATGCTCAGGAGTTCCATCCAAATACGAAGCCAAATGTTTCAAAGCTGAAAGTGCTTTGACCGTAGGTCTTGCCATATAGGAAGCTAGGGTCTTCACTGCAAATTGGATGTCTGGCCGATCCATCGCCAGGTAAAGTGCAAGTCCAAGACCTGAACGGAAATTTGCTGCCTGCTCCTGGTCGAGCAGTTCACTTTCCACAATCAAGTCTGCACTGAACGCTTCCAAAGTTGCATGGTATGGCAAACCCTTTCTTCTTCTTCCACTCACTTTCATCAATCCAACAAGCTTTGGAATGTATGTTGCATTTGGCTGCATCAGGATACCTCCAGGTCGCATTGTCATCCTCTTCTTGAGGTACATCACTTGACTCCCATCCCCAGGCATGTGCGGCCCATCAACCTTCATTGTCAACGTAGCGCCAACTGTTGCTTGAAACCATTCAACATCACCAGGCTTGCACACCAACAAAATGTCATCCACATGTACGTTGACAAACACCTTTCTATTGAAATCTCGGTGACGAAAAATTGTTGGGGCTCCTGGAAATGCTTCAAGTTCAGCTTGTTCGCAAAGCTGTCCAATATGCTGGTGCCACCGCAACGCCGCATTTCTTTGCCCAGGAAGACATCGCTTGAGAAGCCAGTGAGTGTTGGGACTGCCGGTCCACTGCCTGATCCATTGTGGAGTTTTCACATAGAGAATCTCCATTTGAGGAACCATCAAAAATGCATCTTTCACATCAAGAGCTGTGATTGCCAAGCCATAGATGAGGGCTAGGACAAGGAGCATACGCACTGAAGCAAATGAGGATGTAGGAGAGAAATTGTTCTCATCTGTTGAGGTTGTTTTGAACTCTCGTGCCACTATTCTGCATCTTCTTGTCCATTGAACATTCCTGAATCGCCAGTCGTACACCAATGTCGTGTCAACCACGTTCTCTGTTGATGCTTCTGTCTCTGCAAGCACCACTGGCTGAATGACATCCATCTGAAACAGTTTATCCACTTCATCAAGTGCTGCTCGTTCATCCAGCTGTTGCAATTAGTCGTCACTGACATTGGGTGGACCCTGGCCTTCTCCTTGTTCTGCTATGTACTCATCTTCTGAGTCAGGAATTGCTGCATTGTCTTCCCAACCTTCTGGGAACATATCCTCAT